CAGGTATCTCGGGGACCCCTATTACGCACTTTTTGCAAGTTTAAATATAATTGGGCGTCACCCAGAGTCTGCAACACAGCGTCTAAATGACGCTTGTGCGACTCTATCGCGCTCAGACCGTCCTCCGCCCTACTATGCACGAATACATCGTCAAAGTAATGAGGCGCGTAGGCACGGTGCTGACGCATCACGTGAGCCACCACTCGGTTGAATGTTTCCAAAGCATTTTTCAACCCTTGTGGCATCATAAGACACTCCCACAGCATACCGCTTGGGGTGCTTAGTGTCGTTTTGTTTACATCGGTATCTCTCATGAGAACCTGATAGTAGCCATCCTTCAGATCCAACGCGGAAAAGATAGTTGACTTTCCCATGGAACTCAACAAGACATCTTTCCGCGGGATCGGCGTTTGAGCCGGAATGGTGGCCGTGTTCAGCTTATTATAAGCATGAACCACGCGCCATCCACCTGTTTCTTTACGCACACAGAAGGTCGGGCTGCAGTGAGGTGACTTGCTCTCACGTACATGTCCCTCCTTAGCTCGCTTGTCGAAGAACTCATCGATGTAATCGACTTGTTCCTTCGGCAACAGCCATTGCCTGGTCACACAATACTTGGTGCCAGGCTCCAAGTCAATTTCGTGCCTGATGCCCCTATCGGCCGGTAGGCGGCTCGGCACTTCTGCTGGAAACACATCACGGTGTTTCCACAGAACATCATAGAACGGGCTGTCCTTCAAGGCATCCCAGCCTTGAGCAGCGAACCGTTTCCTTTTGTCGGTCTCCAAGACGCTCTCATCCATTATGGATGAAGAGCAACAGTCCACCACGTTCTCTTCTGGAACTGATGCGACTATCTGGTGGATCTTTCCTTCCTTTAGTTCGGACAGGAACAGATCCCACGTCATCTCCGAGGGATTACTATCTCCTCGGCATATCCAATACAAGTTGTAGCACCTCAACTGAGGATGCCTCTGTCATTTTGTCTTCGACGGCCTCGAACAACTCGTTCGTAGGTCCGTCCTCTTGGACCGAGACTGATCCAAGGGTCACTCGTTTTGACGTGACCTTGATCGTCTTAATACGTCTGTTGCTCGTTCTTCGAATCACCACGACCTTTGACCTGGAAGAAGGTGTCTTTGCTATCTCAGCTATAGCAGTCCTTCCAACCGCGCCAGGCTCATGGCTCTGTGCCGGTTCTTGTGGCGCTTGACTTTCTTTCAGCCCACCCTCAACTTCCACAGGCTCTCGGCTCTGTGCAGGACTATTGGACGCATGACTACTTGTCATCGCCCCATTCACTACACCAGTCTTTTCGACCTGGGTAGGAATATGTGTCACCTGGCTTTCCGCCAGTGCACTTCCAACTACACCACTCCTTTCGAGCTGGGTAGTTCCTGGTGTCGATTGACATACCGTCATCGCACCCTCGACTGTGTTGGACACAGCATCAGCCACATAAGCCTCTCGCAAGAGCACATCCTTTCCGGTGTCTTGCGTAGAGCTAGCGACTGTGCGTGTACGCCAGTCTATCCATTGTTGGTGTTTAGACAACCAAGGCATGCCTAGGATGAGGTCATACGGACTCTCCATACCTAGCACTGTGAACTTCTCTTTACAGAAGAAGTCACTGAAACTGAAGGTGAGTTCAACTTGAACTCCCTCCGATTTAACGAGCGCGCCGTTCGCTAAACGAAAGATCGCCTCTTCTCGCTTGTCATCCTGGCAAAGCGACTCATAACTCGCCGGTCTCTTTTTCAGAGCCGCGAGTTTCACAAAGTTTTGTGATGCACCCGAATCCACGAGAAGGGTCATCACTTGGTCATAGCCTCGTACTCGAGCGCTATAGACCAAAAGGGTTGAGGTTCGACCTTTCGGAACCTCAGGGACTATGCTACCCATTTGTTAGATCACTCTGAACTTAGGGGTAGCTTCAGAGTCCGCGACAGTAGGGCATCCCGCCCCTACTGCGCTCCCGCATTTCTCGACCCATCTTGGGCAGGTGCTGAACCCGTGCGTCGTGCACGCTGGTTTTTCGCACCTCCCTTCGGGTTGGGAGACCTTTTGCTGGGCGACTTAGCACCAGCAGCTACTTTGGCATAGAAGCGAGCCATCATATGGCCTCGCTTGCCGCACTTGTAGCATATAACATCTGCATTGTCTAACTCCATAGGAGTGGCATCCGACTTATCGGTCGACGGCCTGTAATAGGCTGTCGCCGAGGCGCTGTTGTAGGATTGCTCCTCAACTAAGGCAATGTCAATTGCCTCTTCCATCGTCGCTGGCACCCTTTAGAAAAAGGGCCTGACGCGATGGGCTGTGCCTAAGTCCATTCATGAACGTGGCTACCTTTATACGCTCTGGTATCGGTTCCCCATTGATGGACGCCGACAGCGACGCATCTCCTGCCAAATTCTTGCAGAGATCGTTTCGCCTGTCGTTCTCCAAAGAAGCGCGCCATAAGCAACACTTCGTTGTTAGGCGGCTGATACATGGCGCGAATCTTTGCCTTAAAGATCGCCCATGATGGAAATGCATCAGCATTAGCCATTAGCGCAGAGTATGCCCACTCTGACGCTTTGCCACGAAAGTTGGACATGGCATACGACACCATTCTGGTGTCGTCTTCGATGAGCTGCGCCACTTCACATTGCTCAACTGCTAATAGCCAGTGAACAATCGTGTGAGGGACAGTTCCATCGAACTTCGGAGGGTCCATCCGAATGGGCCTCGGTTGAGCAGGCCGGGCAGAGAGCGTCTCAACAGTTCTGTTGAGCGCCTCATTACGTGCCTGCTCAAGCCTAAGCTCATCCTGAGTCTTAGTGATGGACTCAGCGGTGGCTTGGCTGTTTACCTCGGACGCGTTTCTACGCTGTCCGAGCACAAACGCCTCAAATTGCTCCAACTGAGCAACATGTTGCTCAGGAGGACAATGCAAGAGGTTGACCAGGGCTTGTTTACCAAGTTTCAGAGCCAAATGCTTCACCAACTCCCTATGATGTTGGGAGAGGTGAGGGGAGTCATCCCAATCCACGATGAGATCCATCCGTATCCACACGCACGCTCAAAGAGACGGATCGTGGAAAGGACTACTAGTGCTACCAAGTGTAGACGGGCACTCCTACGAAGTTGTTTCGTGCTACTAGCACACACCTTCACAACACAAGCGATGAAGCGGTTAGACCGTCTTACCTTCGCGTGCGAGGGTGGTTGGGAGGTTGGTCGACTGCTTAAGCAGTCGTACCACCAGTTGCCTCTCGCTTAAGCGAGAGTGCAACGTACTTCTTAACACTAAAGCACCGACGTCACGCAGAAGCTTTGCAACTTCTCGAGCGTGGTGCGTGTGTTTAAGTAAATTCAAGACTGAGCTATATTTTAAAGAATTTAACTAAATATATACTTGACTACTGATTGCATGTATATGTATATAGATCGGATACGCGACTCTTTAGGAGCGTATCCTGTCGCATGAACTTTAATCTAGATTTAAGATCGCAACTGACGTCCTTCTGAGACGTCGCGATGCCTATCCTCAACTAGCGTCATCCCTTCTCATGTGAATCTATAAATGGATATCACATTCACGAGGGTGGATCACGTTTGTGTATCGCACCCAAGTGACAGGTCAAAAGTAATCATGGATACTTTTAGACCAAACATTAAATATTATTACTTAATGTTTACGTGTAACTCGATGCCCTGTTTCAGTAATACTTGGATTGGGACAGCTTTCGCGCCTGCGACGAGAGAATCCAAGAATTTTCACCCCACTGAAACGTCTGCCGAAAATTGTTAATTTCGTGGGGCCAAATCTTATCCCCTTAAGGCCGCCAGGAAAGGGGCTTGGAGAGGTGCAGTATTCAGTCATGTTTTTCCCACCAACTGGTCGATGATAACCGAAGGTTTGGTAGATGTTCCCGTACTCGTGCTAGGATTACCTCCGTTTGCGCGATATCTGGCCTTAATGTACAGCCGAGTTTATTAATCAAATCCGGAAAACGCTCGAAGGACGGCGATACGATGTGTTTCACGCTCGGTCGATGCGGGCTGACGCTCGAAGGACGGCGATACGATGTGTTTCACGCTCGGTCGATGCGGGCTGACGCTCGAAGGACGGCGATACGATGTGTTTCACGCTCGGTCGATGCGGGCTGACGCTCGAAGGACGGCGATACGATGTGTTTCACGCTCGGTCGATGCGGGCTGACGCTCGTGTTACGTGCACCATGCGTGATCTAGTACACCCAAGCTATGAGATACACATCCTCCTTCCCAGTAAGTGCCAGAAGCGCGTGTTTCACTCGCCGTGTTTTAATGGCGACGGGAACGGAAAGATATTCACTACAAGTAGTGGCAGTGCCTGCCAAGTTGTAGTCCATATCTTAACAAGCAATGCCAGCGATTGGTCATAATTGAGAAATGATGATAACAGAATATTACCCTGCGTTACAAATGCTCGGTTGTACCTTCTGAGCCTTTTTGCTTGCGTACGTCATCGATAATGTCGCAAGCACCTATGTCTCACCAAGTGCAGAGTGATGCGATGCCTTGGAAGGGTCAGAAGGTGCGAAAGTAATTATTCTAAGCTCAGAAAAATTCAACCGAGATCCTGAGCACCCACCCATGTACATTCAATCACCCACTGTACGAACCATAACCAATTACAGAATGGTGGGTGCATTGGAACGTTTACTGGATTGGAAGTAATCATTTCTGTACTTCAACGCTCATACTAAGTATGTAGTGTAGGATAGCTATAAATAATTATACTTGACATAGCAAAAGCTAGTGAATGGATTGCCATCGCCAACGACGATAAAATACAGTTTACTTTTTCCCTAAACCCGTTTCCGTTCGGTTGGTCGCACGCTTCGTGCACTCATTGTGCATGTGAGATTGATCAAGCGTGAGGAAGCTGCCATTCTTTCTAGCCTCACTTTTGAAAGTTACCTTTGTTTGCTTCATACCTTCAAGAATCATCATTCATTCCTTCGGTCACAATGCGCTTAGTAAAAGCCCTTGCTGCTGGTCTTGCGTATACTCTTTTTGATGTATCCAGCTCTGTAGCTGATGATGAAGTGGGGATCATGAGTTTTAATGTTCGCACCTCGATCGCCAATGACCCGTGCCCGAGCGGCTGCTGGGATGTACGCAAGGAGAGAGTAAAGAAACTCATTGAGAAGTATAAGCCCGATATTATCGGCGTCCAAGAGGCAGCTCCCGACCAAACCGCGTTTTTCCAGAATGTGCTGGGGTTCGCAGCCACTGGAGAGTGTTCGGCCGAATGTCAATACAACGAACGCAACAGCATATTCTTTGTAGAAGCGCGCTGGGAATTGTTGAGCACATCGTCATACGCGTTGGTACGTTGTTAGCGCCAAGCCATGGTGGCGGTGTTGTTACTTTCCTCTCGTCATGAAACTAACCGATCTTTATGATTTGATTTAACAGAGCGCAACTCCTGAAACACTGCCGTCCAACACTTGGAGTCTTGAATTCCTCCGTTCTGCGGTCATCGCGCGCCTTCGCGACAAGAAAACTTCGCGCGTGATATGCATGCTGAACACGCACTTTGATATCTCTCGTGGTCAACCCCAGTCAGCGGTTTTGTCTGCAAAACTGTTGAGCCAATTTTGCCAGCATGATGACACTGTAATTATGACTGGAGATCTGAACACTGCGCCTAGCAGCCTCGCTGTCCAGTACCTCCTGGGCAAGACCTCGATTAATGGGATGTCGACGCCCATCTCGTTGTACGAAACGCTGACTGCTGCGGGTGCAGGCGGGAGTACGTGGATTGGGCCCTCTTTTGGGAACATGCTAGTATCGGACAAGATTGATTACATTTTCGCTCGCCGTGACGCCCACACATGTCTACGCAGCGGGATGGTTTTAGCTGACTTGTTTGACGGGTATTCCAGCTCCGACCACGCAGTGTTGCTGTCCAAGTTCTGCCTAGGAGGTGGATGTCAAAAGTGCATTCCGTAGTTTGCACGATACAGCACAGATGCATTATGCATACATAAAAATACCTACATCACAGTTGTTTTTGTGTTAAGATCAATGGATTAACAAAGAGATTTATTTAGTCATTTGCAACTCGAATTAGCAACAATTGCTATTATTTTTTTTTATTGTATACAGCTCGCATGGCCCACATTAAGTTCAAGCTTCCCTCGTGAAAGTGACATTTCATCGTTAATTATATTTTCGCAGCATTCCGGTCCAGCTCCCACCACCATGGACACGCTGATCTTGGGCGCCCATCGCCTGAGCAGCAGCTCAAGCTCCAGTTCCAGCTCCTCCAATTATGGTGACAGGGATTTTATGAATCATAGTAATAAGCTTCAAGTACAGATGCCTGCACCTCCCCCTCCTCCTCCAAGCTCTCCTCCGCCAGACATGATGCCGCCACCGCCGCCTGGACCTCCTCCACCTGTTGATCTAAACCAGAAGACAGCGCGACGACCAAAAATGGATACTTTGACGAGTAATAAAGGTACACCAAAGACACCGTCTCAATCTCTGTCGAAGAGTCAAGAGAAGAAGCTGCTAACGATTCGATACCAACCGTCTTCTTTAGTGAAGCAGGGACATACTGAACCTGAGAGTATGCAGAATGAAGAAGATCAAGAGGAAGAAGTGGAGGACGATGATGTGGACGCGTATTCGGACGAGTCAGATGTGTTTGAAGAGGATATGGAGGCCATATTGTTTGCTGAAGAGGAGGAAGACCGACGCAAAGGGTACATGGACTGTCTGACCGAGACGCATTTGGACAATGCTGAATACCCGTACCCAGCGTATCTTGGCAAGTTAGCCACTCTTTTCACAGAGCAAAATGCGCTTGGAAAAAACCCTGAGGATTTTATTAATTGCAACAATCTCTTGGTACGTTGCAGACCATTGGCTATAGATGGTAAAGAGATATATGAGATGATTGATTACTCAATTTATGCTAACTTTAGGTTAATCCAAGACAGCTGAGACTGTTGGACACTCGAACTGCTGCACTTGAGCGAGAGAAATGGGCACAAGTGCGGAAATCTACCGCGTTGAAGGCGAAAGAAGAAGAGACGAGGAGAAGCCAGGAAAGGTAAGAGGACTCTTATGTGTCCTGCTATTTAGTAGTTTGTTAGGATCGGTTGGTAACTTGAAACTGATCTTTTGCGCGGTGACAGACTGGCGGAAGCGCTTGAGCCGCCTGCTAAGAAGATCAAAATATCAGAAGCTACTATGAAGGCTTTGGAGTCCAAGCAATATGTTTCTGCGAGCAGCTTGAAACTTTCTAATAAATCGTCGCGAAAGCGAAGTCGAAAGAAACCCACAGCACCAATTGCATCCATGACACCAGCAACGCCAGCTTTATCAAGTCTCTTGAATACATCGAAAGGTAGCAGGAGAAAGGCAAAACCTAAGTCGTTGTCGGTACAGACAACGAATGTCAACGAGAAAGTAAACGGGAAGCCCGTTGTTGGTCCGGCCATTAAGAAGAAAAAGACGACGGCATTTAGCAGCCATGCGAAGAAGAGCACAACCGATGCAACTCCTGTGATATCCAAGACTGCGGCTACCGGTGCGAAGGCTATTAAGGCTGCCAAGAAAGAACATGTCAAGCAAAAAGCAATTCTTGCTGCTAGCGATCTCAAGGAAGTCAGAGTACAAGCTCAAATTGAGAAGAACCGATCTGCGGCGGACGTAGATCGTGGCAACGAAAGCTCGTCGTCTTCCTCGTCGTCGTCTTCCTCCTCTTCGTCGTCATCTTCCTCCTCGTCTTCATCGACTTCAGTATCCAGTAGCTCATTTGACGATGACACAGCAAGTAATGTGGTTTAGGAACCAAGTAAGGACGGTTTTGATTTCATTTGCTTAATGTTAAGAGCTACCATCGTGTCACATCACGATCTAGTGCTTCTAATCGTATCATTTTCACCCGTTTGCGCTGCTGACTTCTCCACCCAAACCCTCGCTGATCTCTTCCCCGATTCGAAAAGTTGATCCAGCACCTCAATCCTTGGCGGAAACAAAGCAAAGCGTGCCAACTGCATTATTGTAAAGGGGAAGTCCGGATCGATCGATGGGCTAATCTCATAGTCTGTGCGACGAAAGATGTGCCCGGGGAACGCACATACCTTGGTGTATCCCGGCACTTTTGGCACTAAAGTAATGAGGCCTCCGTCCACATGATATTCTCCTCGAAACACAGACATTCCTCGTCTAGACAAGTACCAAGGCACATAGCACGATGCAATGAGTGCATCACATAGATCATCCGTCGAGTGGAAATCATCGGTTAGCACCAAGGCTCTCCAAGGCCACATCTTCTCTGTTGCAATCGTGAGTCTTTGTGCCAACGTCTCTACCTGTAGATCACCGAATTTGGCATGGAAGATGGTACGCAGTCGCTTCTCAAGCTTCCAGACAGTGCCATGATTGTGACAGAGCCGGGTTATGCCTTTTACCTCATCGAAAATGTCGCTTATGTTGGCGTTAGTGGCCAAACTTAAGGCAACGATGGCACCCCCAGAAGCTCCAGCGAACTTAGAGTTGGCCTGGATATAGCCAGCATCCAGCAGTCCCTGCGCCACGCCCAAGTGATACGAAATCAAGAATCCACAACCACCGAAGCTGAAGTTGTTTGCAGTGGGAGGTGCAATACTGGAGAAGCTTCGATCGAACGAGCGAGTGAGAAGAAGGCGACACATTAGACTGTGTGCTCGTTAGTTATTCGTTTCCTATTTATATACTAACCGGTACGTTACTAATCGACTTGTTTAATGCAAAAAATAGAGGAAAAGTATGCGGTGCTGGGGTTGAGGGGATGGGTCCGCTAGCAACGAAACAGCTGCTGGTGGTATTGTTTACAATTCTGCGACGCGCACAAACACAATAAATACGCGAGACGCCTTTATATTACAAATGAATTTTACAGAAAGAGTTGGTGTATATTAGATTGAGCCCTGTCGTTTAGATAAAATACAATGTTTTACACACGAATGTTATGTAGTCCACGCGTATAAACCACCTCAATATTAATTGATCTTGTATCTGCTTTGTTGCAGCGAAAGCAGTTGCATACAACACATTGTCACTAACGTGAATTTTTTGTAGGTACAAATATCTGATTCAGGCTCATATAAATAATACAATGGCCTGACAATCTATTAATAGATGCCTAATCTCTTTAATCTAGATATATTAGAAAGCTTGATGTACACTATAGCTGTAAACGGGCGCTTCGTAAAGAAGATGCCATGAGCACACCTTCAAGCAGTGTGAGGAAGCGGTTATACCGTCTTAACTCCGCTTGCGTTGGTCGGTCGTTTAAAGCGTCGTACCAGCTGTTGCCGGCCGCTTAAAGTGGTCCGCGCAACGAACGTTAAAACGAGCACCTACCTGCGCCACGGAATCTGTTTCCAGTCTTCCCGTGCGCAGTGAGTATGATGTAGTAAATTCAAGACTGACTTATATTTAATAGAATTTAACTAAATATAGATCTAACTACTGATTGGTCAAATATAAAGATCGGATACGCGTCTCTTTGGAAGCGTATCCTTACGTGCGAGCTTAGAATGTATTTAAGCTCGGTGATGATGTCTGTCTGAAACGTCACCATGACGCCAGTCCCAACTGGCGTCATCCTCGTTGAATGTGAATCCATCCATAAATATCGCATTCACGAGGGGGTGTCACATTGATGTGCCGCACCCAAGTGGCAGGCCTAAGATACCTCGTACCCTTTCAGGCCTGCCCGTTGATTAGTCGATATTTTACCAACCGTGTAACTTCTAGTTGTTACACCATTCCCCTCTTTAGGACAATTTTACAAATTTGTAAACATCGAAAAGAGACGATGACGCCGAAGCGTGATAAGGCTGATGGGTCGCCTGCAAGGCACCCATGCAAACCAACACAAGGCGCACGCGCCACGATAACACGGAGCCGTCGCTATGTGTCTCTGTGACAACGCCGACATCTACTGTCCGCTTGTCAGCAGAGAACACTGGTCTATCCCACTACCGTGCGGATGAAGATGTGGTGAAGTGGTTTTCTAAATTGTGAAGAGCCCAGGGGCCAGTTGGATTGAAGGGACAAGGGGACGTGGGCTAGGGAGAAGGGACCACGCACCAGAGAGAAGTGATCGGAGATAAGGGAACCTCGAAGTGAAGCGACCGTTGGCTAAGAATTTGAGAGACACACAAAGGAGAGGTCATTACCAGGGTACTGTTTGACCGGTACCGAAGGGAGTCGACCATGGCCCTCATTGGTCGTCCCGGTCCATCATTGGTAGACCCAGGTCCCTCGTCGGTAGACCCAGTCCCCCATCGGTCGACCCGGTCCCTCGTTAGTAGACCTGGGTCCCTCATTGATCGACCCGGTCCCTCGTTGGTAGACCTGGGTCCCTCATTGGTCGACCCGGTCCCTCGCTGGTAGACATGGGTCCTTCATTGGTCGACCCGGTCCCTCGCTGGTAGACCTGGGTCCCTCATTGGTCGACATGGGTCCCTCATTGATCGACCCGGTCCCTCTTTGGTCGACATGGGTCCCTCATTGATCGACCCGGTCCCTCTTTGGTAGACCTGGGTCCCTCATTGGTCGACCCGGTCCCTCGCTGGTAGACATGGGTCCTTCATTGGTCGACCTCGGCCCCTCGGGGCTCAGCCACTCCTGACCAGTTGATACAAGGATCAGACTAGTCGACGCAAGGAATCAGAGCTTCAGGCAAGGATAGAGTAAAGGAGTTAAAAGGATAGGACTATATAAAATACTACTCAATTTGCGATCTACGTGGCACGACTCCGTCACCCAAGAAGAACTTGCTCTAAGCTACTCACTGTTCCGGGAAGGGATATATTTTGGCCCCCCGTCGAAGACAGTTGCGTAGCAAAGTTCAAGGGCGAATAGAGCTCCAGGATATATTTGGCCTGTGAGCTCGTTCGAGTAGCAACACCCCCCAAGACCCGCTATCGGAAGCGGTATCCCTCACCTTAAGGTCCGGGAGCAACGTAAAGGTCAGGTGGTTAATACCCCTGAAACAAGAAGGAAAAGGCCAGGGACGACAAGCTTCCTGAAGAATTTGGCTCTAAGTCCACTCTCGACAAGGTCGATCGAGTGGCCACCTACCGGCCCACCGAGTGAAGCATATCCACTCGAGGCTCCCCAGGTCTACCTCCCTCAAGATAGACTCTACATCGTCACCAAGTTCTCCGAAGAGTGCAACCCGCCAGCCGACGGGTACACAAGGTGAGAGAAGGTTCATACGCGGCATCGGGGTACCCCCTCCGACAGTCGGCAGTCCGGCACAGTGAGTGGTTTGGGGTCTCATCATACAATTTTGAGAACCCACTCCACCACAAAGACTTGTCTCTCATTGTTGACTACAATGAGACTATGCCATTGCCATCACCCCAAACTGGTGATGAGTACAAAGCTTTAATGGGACATTTTTCCACATCATCTGAGACACCCAATCTTCAGAAATTTTCCATGCTTTCTGACAGCGAGGTTCATGCCTTGTCGTCTGCGCCAACGAGCGCAGCGACCACAACTGAGCGCGCTGCTTCGAAAGAAAAGCCGCGACTCAGCAGCAGTTCGGCGATTCTAAATTGACCGCCTCTTTCAACGCTACGTCTGACGTCTTGACAATCCATAATAGAGAGTTAGACTCAGGCGAGGGTGAGAAAAAGCCCCTTTGACTTCACTGTCGGCCTCACTAGCTCGCCGTCGCGAGTGAAGCTTCGGAGTGATGGTTTGCCAACGATGCCACCACCATCCGAGTGGCCACGATGGCGTGTAAATAGTGTGACGCTTTTAAGGCTTTCCACTATTGACGCTAATAAACGTTTTAGCGTCTTTCAATCATGAAAGAGGCAGGGCAAAGCCCGAGGTCGTGCTTTACCTATCCCCGTCGTGCTGCATTCAGATGAAACAACCGACAAATACGAGGTAGAGTTCCTTCGCCGTGTTACACTCATGTAGATGCAGTGAAACAGCGGTCGCATCCAACCTGCTTCGCTATGACGTGTGCGAGGAAAATATTGGGTGATAACATGCCCCCAACTCTTTCTCGATACGCTGCCACTGCTAGTCCATCAGGACCAAGCAGAGCGAGTGCAGCTGATGCTTCTGCTCGTAAGAAGCCACAAGCAGAGGCAAGTCGATGCGCAACGCGTCAACAGGCTCCCATAATTCGAAATTCTTCGATAGATCCTTTTAGCTGGACAAGGATCTGAAGCTTTTGCTTCACATGGCGGTGGGCCAACAATCTTCTAACAATGAAGAGTGTATTATTACCCACATCCACCAACATAGGTAGCGCCCGATAAGAGCGGCAATTACGCCCAACTATTTGCGGCTGCCCTTCTGTTGTCGTTCAGTCGCAAGCGGAGAGCGTTGCGGTGAAGAGAGAGGCGGCTGATCTTTCAAGTCAAGTCTCGCGACTGAATTCGGATCTACGCTCTGTATATATGAGGGACTGTCAGGGCATGACCGTCTAAGCTCTGTCTGGAACTACATGAGCGAATGGCTATAAGAGGTCCACGTCAAACACGGATTCCTCCTCGATCACCGAGTCCTGTGTCGTCTCTTTATTATATGGAAAGTCGTTCGGCTTCCCCGTCGCCTGATCGACAACGACGCTCGACTCATAGTTGACGTCACTATCGGTCTTGTTAGACTGATGCAAATATGTGAGATCTTGTGGATCCACATACCTTCAGACGACCCAAGTAAAATACGGGGTGCGTCTTCATATACGGTGGGACAGTGAGCCTATAATTTAGGTTTCCAACTTCTTCAACCACTGTAAAGGGCCCAATGAACCGGGGCAATAGCTTAGTAGTACCACCAGGCAGTACAGAAATTGCATGTTTAGGTAGGGTAGCAGTACTTAATTGCACTTTGTCCCCCACACTAAGTGTTCATTGTTCTTGCGACCATGCTGGTCTGCATATTGTTTTTGCTTGTCCTGTGCGCTTGCCATCGCGTCACGGACTTTACGTGTGATGGCTAATCGCTCATCCACAAAGCGCTGAGCTTCACTCACGCTTTTAGCATCCAGCTCGCCGATGACGCCTCCAAGAGGTCGTTCATGGGTCGACGCTGTTAATAACACTATAGTGTCATTCATCAAGGAGCGCTGGCATTTCTTGCCGTGCCTCCTCTGTGACACCTATAGGGGACGTGACCACTGCTAAATTAGCAGTGTCACTAGGGCAACCTTGGCCCTCTTTGGCATTCGCACCGAGCGAAGTGAGGGGCCTTCCCCCACTAAGCCTCGGGCTGCGCACAAACGAGACTGGCGTCCAAAGATCGCGCAGTCCGTCGATTCAAAATGGTGTTTCACCCGTACTGGCGTGAACACTGTTATTTATAGCAAGCTACACGAATGGAAATTGCTTGCTCCATTCTTTGGGAATCGCTACAGTACGCAACACATCCAACACAACTCGATTGGCACGTTCTGTTTGGCCATCAGTTTGGGGATGATCAGCGGTTGACATGTGGGGCTTGCTTCCCAGCAGCTCAAACACATGTCGCCAAAACCCCGACGTAAAACGCGGATCCCGATCCGATACTATGGATTCGGGCATCCCGTGTAGTCGATACACGTGATCCAGAAACAAGAGGTCAATCTCTTAATCTCAAATCTTGGTGCTACATGGTGCCAAATGCACTATGTTGCTCAGTCTGTCTACAAAGACGA